TTCAAGTCTGTCATCCATGACCAAAACACAGTAACCAAATCTCAAGTTAGAATTAGGTTTTAGTCAAACAACGGTGACACGTTGGCCTCAGTTATGTTTCAGCTCCAGACTCATGAAAGCAAAACAACCCCATGGACTGCAGTCCCTGGAAACAGGAACAGACAATGCCATGACTGACACCAGGGCCGGAAGCCATGATCAGGGCTCCCTGCCCAGCTCCCATAGTAACCATGACTAATGACTTTTCCCTTTTATAATCTAGCCACTAGAGGCCATGGAGGAGCCAGGTTTTTGAGAGCAATAGTTCACCTGTGTCTCTGGGCTTGGCGCCAACTCCTAAAATAAACTTTTACTTTCTTTGCTGCAAACTCCTGCTCGTGTCTTTTTTTGGCTTGGAATGTGCGCAGGCAAGAGGACCCTTTGAGTCTATGGTAACACTAGCTTAGCTCTTCTAGAAGTTTGTAATTTAAAAAGAGGGGTTTGGGGGGTGCAAAATATTGGGGAATTTGGCTCTGTCCACTATTATTTGAGATATTGTATTTGAGTTTCTCTACCAGAGGCAGGGACACTCAGAAAGGGATGAATCTCAAGGGGAAAGAGGAGGCTAAAATGACCTAAAGCAAGTTTGTAGAGTATCTGAGGAGCACGTCTCCCTCTCTGTTCCCTCCACTATGCACAAAATGAGACTCCTGGGCCATGCTATGCTGTCTTGTTTGTTTGTTGCCTTCACGAACGTCATTTCCCTTTTGCATCTTTCAAAACGACTGTAAGGATAACTGACCTGATCTAAGAAGGTATGTGGGCTTCGGGTCATTATATGAAATCCACAGTGATAACTGGCAAATGGCTAGCCCTGCGAGCTATACCTGCTTATGGAGAGAAGAACGCAGGCCTGGAGCCGGCCATGGATGTCTTGAAGGAGGTGGTTCAAGAGCAGGTTGTAAATGACCTGACAAAATGAATTGGCACGTTAATAATTGCGGTAAAGGGAGGCAGATGTCTGAACCTTAATCTCAAGGGACTAAATTACTTTGGAGATCGTAGAAAGAGAGGCTTTATCAAAGAAAATGAAGGGGCGGGAGGCAGAATGCAACCAACTTTGCAATTAAATAATGTCATAGGTATTAAAGTAAAATGTCATAGAGGAAAAAGGCAAGTGTGTGAACTCTTAAAAAATCAACCCAATTAAATGGTCCAGGAAGAAAATGGTGATTTTGGAAAAGATCCATGGCATGAGATTAAAATATGAAGCTAGTGAAACAGTAGGCATGTGACTGGTCTTCTGGTCACTAACAAAATTAGGTGCCGATAAAGTCCCAAAACTTAGCTTCTCCAAGAAGTTGCTGATGTAACAGCAGTGATGTATTTTGAATACAGGAACAAATCCATTTTCTCCCTGCAAAGGTGGACGTTTCATTAATCTGTGGTAATGGAACCCTGGCTTTGTCCTACCTGTCTGCTGAGGGTGGTGACATGTCGTGGCTTGCTTTGTTGCTCAATCACAATTTGTGGCATGTGTTTAGCCTCTCTGTCCTATAGACAGGCTTTGTGAGACTGTGGCTGACTGTAGCTGTCCCCCTGAAGCAGAGTACGGCGTTCCACATTCACCTTGTTAGTCCCATCGTTTGCTTGCCCTTTGTGCAAAGCTCACTTTCAAGAGCGCAAAGGTAAGCCCAGACCAGCTTTACTTAACTGCTGGAAGAAGCAGGCAGTGAAAGACATCTTTCTATAATAGTTTTTCCTTCAGACACTGGTTTCACCAAATATGAAACCCCTCTTGCTTGATCTTAATAGCACAAAGTATGG